AAAAGAGGACTAAATATGTATTTGGCGTAGTGAATCATTACATATTCACGGGAGACTCGCAGCAGAGTATACAAACATGTACCTGATTTCAAAGTTACACTATTTGATGACACTTATCTAGTAAACTAGTCAGACACGAACAGATCAGAAAGGATTAATAAATCAGAAGGCACAACATGATTTTGTTTTTCAGAGATTCAACTAAATCCGTAAATATGCATTTTCATTCCTTATATAATTTCACTGAAGACTCTTGAAGTACAGTCAAGTTTCTTTACATTTAAAAGATTACAAGTTATGAGTGTTCAACAGTATTTTGAGAAAAAACTTTAGAACACAAAATAATCGAGCAAAGAATATTCTTTTCGATAAATTCCTCTTCCAGGCTCTACAATTATATATATATATATATGTTTATATACACAGAATATTTTAAATTAGTAGTTAATAACAATATTAGCGTTTTTTTAAATAATATCGATTTGTAAAGTATGGTCAATGCTATTGCAGTTCATTAAAGATGCTTAAATTATAATAACAATAAAGATATAACAGCGAATAGAATATCAACTAAAATTAGGGAAATTCCACAATAATTCTGGATTATTCAAACCTGGATGGCCAAGGTAATGATAATGATTGGACTAACTTCTTTTGGGTGCATAAATTAGGCTTATTAATATGAATCCCCATAGCCTCAGCAATATTTAGAAGTCGAACTCTTAAAGCGAAAGTGAGATTCGTAGGTATGCGGTAAATGACCCTGAAAGCATGATTAACGTCAGTCTTGTGTTCTGTCTCCACAAGATGCGCCGGAATAGCGCTGCGAATAGATTTTGTTTGATCTTTGCTTAACCAGGCAGAGTGGTGTTCGGAAATTCGACGAGAAACACGCCTAATTGTACGGCCTATGTAACTGGCTCCACAGGAGCAGTTCAATTCTATAAAGATCAATAACTCAATGTGTTTGATTGACTTTCCGCAGCACACTCAATAATGAATTAAACTTCAACATGAAAAGTTTCAATGAAAATATCACAGATAACTTTAGACTACTTGCAAGTAGCGTGATTAATACACACGAAAAATGACTGCGTCAGTTTTGAAATGAGATTAGACAAGTGATGAAATTTGATTAAAAGCAGATATATGATTGATTGCGTAGACTATTCATCACATGCTGTTAGTTTGACAAGTTACCTTCATGTAATGAAGACATGACTGCAATTAAAACAAATAATCAATTTACAATAGGGCTTAGACAAACAACATCGTATCCTAACGACATGCTACCTAGTTATTCGACCACCTTCATCATATAACCGGTGACCAAAACATACTTATTATCTGGGCGGCCATTGAATCTCACAGTTCCGTCAACGGGGCATCAAGTTACGAATCTAAGGATAGCTAGACTAAAGCTTGATGCGACACAGATTTACCTTCAACTTCAAATGACACAGAGGAGCTGTGGCTCATTTAGTCTATCAACTTCAGTCAACAATAGGTCACGGGTTACAATTACGTTCGATCTACTGGGGTTTAGACAGCCAGGTAGTATTACTAGCTGTCGTGAAATAGGTATGACTCAATGGCAACTCTATGGAATTGCAGGCGGTTGTTCAGTAACATTTCCTTTCAATAGGCATACAAATTACACGTAGCTGACATCCTAAATTTCCAACTTTATGAAGACAGTCAGCTCCTGTATGAGGTCTACTGCTTTAGCTGGCATAGTTGCTTATATAACATATTATCAAGTTATTTTAATACCTCTCAGAGAAAATAATATTATTATTAGTTAGCATGTTCACTGTCATCAGATCTTTTAAATGCACTAAATTAAAATCACAGGTTTGATAACAGTGCTGAGTCAGTTTTGCGCTCAGTACTGTAAACAGTCATCCTGATTAGTAAATTACGAAAAGTTGCGTTTCTTGTATCACGCTTAAACTCTCTACATGTGAATGATATTTTTCCTTCACTTACCTAATCTCAAGTAACATTTTTTACTGTGTACATTGATATCGCAGGTCTTTAATATGCCCGACTCAAAAAGCTATGAAAGCTGAACAGCCCGCAAATAAAATAATATCTAGCAAGAATATCAAGCACGCTGTCATTAGTCATAGGAAGACTCTACTGGATGACATAAACAGTTAGACACCGATTTTAAATGTCTTTCTAGTTTGGTCAGATAAACAGCTTGAGTAGAATAAAATCTATTTCTCTTTCTTTTGCGTTCCGAGCGGAACATAGGACGTCAAGCCTAAGCTTCGCTAGTGGTAGTGTTTTTTATACGGTGTGGGGGGTTGTTACCTCATGCTCAACCTTATCTCTTGAATTGGCTTACTAAACGGATAAGCGAACTTTGGGAATGGGTCGGTCGAGAAGAGAACCCCAGACAACGTGCGTGGTTGGCGAGTACTCTATCACTGATGTCCCACAAACCAACAACAACCTAGAGTATCACAATATAAAAATCCTTTAACTAGTTGGAAAATCTAGAAAAACTGGTCCATAGCCTAGATAAATAAGAATAATCTTTGCGAAGTAGAAATAACAACAGTGGGTTCAAAGAACGTCGAGGAAGCATAGCAGTTCACCTACATGCCACGCTTATCCTCAATTACTGACCAACAATAGTCTCGTCAAGGAAGTGAAATATGTCGAAGTTGTGGTAAAACTATGCACACTTTCGTTACCCAGGTTTTAAGTGGATAAACAGATATTGACAAAATAAAATGCATCCATCTTGTCGCACTCCATGAGTTGTTATTACATCATGTAAATTTGCTGACGGAAATTTGTGTACGAAATTGAATCTTCATAAAAAAATACCAGGGTAGACTTAGGACATAAGGCTGCATAGGCGAATCACTATGAAGACGAGTAAGTAAAAGTGTTAAACTGAAAGAATTAGAAAGCAAAACAGCTGGAGAATAAGATGAAACATGTAAGCATACTAAGCAAATACATTTAAAAGCTTGTTTATTGATTTTGTTAGTAGAACGAACAAAGAAACTGCAGCATGTTGGCCAATGACTTTGCTTCTGGGATGCATTTCACGATGTTGCGAATCACTGTGTAGTATTGTGTCTCAGACACGAACCGGGAAAACCATTCTTCACACTGAGCACGACGTTATGGGCAGACACTGTCGTAGCCTTTCCAACTAATGCAAGTGCTAACATATAAAGAATAGTATGGGATCCCCTGGGATAATAACTACATATCCAGGCCACTGCAACCAATATCCCAAGATGATATCAGCTAATGAAGAGTCGACTGACATCTCTAGACTCACCATCGGATCACTGAATGATTTATATGATGCAATTATTACCACTAAAGCAGAGTTCACTGAAAACACTTGGTCTCCTAATATCCTTAGCTGCAAAAGGCGAAGTGTGAAAATGACGGCCTCAAAACATTGACCAGCAGATCAACATCGTAATGGCGCTAGAGGTGATCTAAACTAGCATGTTCCTCTCACTTTCGCTTTATGATTCAAAAATTTCATCTGTCTAAACACCGCACGCGCTCACACAACTACCTAGATGCACTCAATATTCGGCTACTACCAATGGTTCACTTACTAGAGTCCCTGGGTAACAGGTTAACTCTAGTTTCGCAACACTACATGGGACTCATTCGTAAGCATCACATACCATTCACACAAACCCTGACCACGAAAAAAGTTCACTGGAACTCAAGTAGTCTCAGCGTTGAGAACATTGCACAGTTTTTCACCGGGTAGCAGACATACACTACCACGAGACCACATCAAACCAACTGCCCAAATGATATCGACGGAAATATCAGATAGAAATGACGAAAATTCGTCTCACTCTACAGCTCGTTGAGGACTCCTAATGGCAGGGCCTGCGATGGAGCGATTAACTTTCGAAGAGCTACTAAAAGAGTGCCACTTAACACAATCATTCAGACATCACAAGCCTCTGTAAAAACTGGTAGTAGTTGCAAATAATACCGGCAGTCCTAAAAAGGATAAGATAAACATTAGGAAGACAGCATTTAATTAGAGGCATAAGTGTTTCCGTGGATGCACAGCCCATATCAAACCATATCCCCGTGAGTTATACAGCCCTAGTTTCCTTTATCTCATGAATGCCAACTAGGAGGCATACATTCCTGAAAATGCTTCAAGGAAAGTTACTGACCCGAAGTATATCTATTATTCCTCTACAGTCATCCACCGTTTTTTGACACTAACCATACTTAAATTGACAGTGAATATCGAGGCACACAACTGATGGATATGTATAATACATTTTCTATCCATAAAGACCAATATCACTTTAAAATTTCACCAAATAGCCCAAAACAACAGTCCTTACATAGTAGTTGCACTGAATATGGACAGTGCTGGAAAGACAAGGATGGTGAGACAGACGCCAAAGTAGAAACTCCTACGCAGTCATGTAAGTTCAAGTTACTGCAAAACAGTGAGAGGTAGACATATGTCTCAAATCTTTTCATATAACTTGCATTTATTTGCCATATGTCAGAGTCATCGTCATCATCAGTAAGCAAACTGAGTATTGTTTGTGGTGCGATTTCATCGACTACCAACTACACAACAGCGGTATGACTTTTCGATAGGTGGTCAACTACCTCACTAATATCAATCGGTTTTATCTTGAAAATTTTGTTCAACAGCCGCAATACAGGGAGTTACACATATTGATGGAACTGAGATCAGGCCGTAAATTCATTATGCGAAAGTATTCATCCTGTGCATTATCAAACAGTAAGTTTAGCACCACACCCTTCGAAATGAACACAAAATACACTTTGAAAGTATAAATTTATTGGTCAGGGTTTTATTGAGCATTTTTTCCCTTTGTTTCTTTAAAAGGAACATCAGCAGGGCCGTACTAAGGTACTGTATTAATCAAACGAACATTCATACCTTATCCCACAATGATTTAAGATCTCTCTTCATAGCATAAGCATCCTCACCGTCCGCATAATATTTAGGTTCGATATCTGAAACTCTATAGAAGTTAGACGAAAGCTAGACAAAAAGAGGCCTACACAAATTGTAGTGTCTTCTTGTATAACGTCAGCGCAGCTCTGTTGCTTTTCCGAACGTGCAAAGAGACATATCTGGCGTGAAAGTTCTCTACCATGGCTCGTGATGCAAGATTCATTAGGGTTTGAGCAATACCCAGACGTCGGTATGGCCGTTTAACAGCCAGAGATGTAATGTGTCCATATGGAACATCCTCTGGGTCTTCTTCCCTAACCAAATAACACAAGAAGAAGTAACCTACATTTTAGCCAGGACATAGCCAACTATCTCTCCATTATCAGTTTCTGCAACGTAGGAGAGTTGGGGCCAAGATAGCCCGTGATAAAAGTAATATTTCATCTGGTAATTTTCTGGCAAACAGTCTAGGTTGCAGTCCCTCATATTCAATAAGTCATTCGGCTACAGAGAATATGCAAATTAAGCGGGTTAAAGAGAACTACCCTTGCATTTCGGACATTCATCTTCACCCTGGTTAGCTTGGAAGTGACCTAGAAACCAAAAGTACCGGCGAACCTTCGGTTCTTAGCATTCAGTTCAACTGCGTTTGGCAAAATGAATGATCTGAAAGTGATTTGGAATCTGTGTCGAAAATACCTGAAACCACCCTTTACAGGAAGACTCTGAGGACTGTGGCTTCAAACTGCTAGAATCTTATATATTGGGAGAGGATTTTCTCCCACTTCATTACAAAATTTTGACATCTATATCTGATATTCGGTAAGAGCAGGTTTGATAAACTGAATTACTATAAGAGACGTCTAAGGCATTATTAGGAATTCATAAAAATGGCACTTACTCATTCCGTAAAAATATGCATATTCCAGAACGGAGATTTTGCACAGTTACTGTTAAAAGTTATTAAATGAAGTTGTGCATATCCACTGTTTTAATTAGAATCTTTGTTCAACTCCAAATTTACTCAGGGATGATATTTACATTGTAATATTTAGGAAACTAATGCTTAGACCTCATGATTGTGATATTTCTTTCTTTATGTTGCAGATATGGCCCACATGAACGCAACAGGACGATTGCCAAACAATATGGGTGGACTAAATGTGAGCTATTTGACATTGAATTTCTACTGCGAACATGCGTGCCATAATTTGTACATCTTATTATAATACTACACTTTCACCACTCTTCCACACTTGCCTCCCTCATCGTATGCATCATTGTTCCGTGGCTACCTGTCTACCAAGTGAATTCTCTCCAGTTTCACAGATGGAGATACCCCAGACATCATTACAACATACGTCCTTTTTACGATTAGTCCTTTCTCTGTGACCGTCTGTTTGCAACGCTAATTATCTCGTCAAGTAAGTTGGAAATTACAAGGAACTGTCATCGTTGAAAAAAGAATATTCAACAACCCTGTCAAAGAAACCCAGAGTGGAGGAAACGCCATTAAAAGTGACCGCGTGGATTTCATCTCTGGATTAAACCCTTAAATTTGGGGAAAGTAGACTTGATCCTATTTGCAAGTAACTATATTCCTTTATAACTGACTGTCCTCACTAATGATATATATATGTATAAAACAATATATAGAAAATATCGTATTTATTAGTCTGAACATTAGTGCAATGCGTCTAAATGCTGTTTTTCCTGCTGCAATACATTCTGTATTTCTTTACTTCAATGAACACTTAACCACACCTTGTGGGTAAGGCGTTGGAATTTCGTAAAGAAAAGCAACTGGACAACGAGGAGTGAAGTCAAAAATCTTCATATGATTTTTTACTATATCATTCTCGAATTTCAAACATTTAATTGCAGACATGGGTGATGAAAATAAGTCCTAATTAGCGCTAAAATTTAAACTTCATAATCCGAGTTTCACTATTGTGGTTAAAACATCCACAAGACAAAGTGGTCCTTCAGATGCGTTAGGAAGAACGGCAACGTCTGAAATACCACCAGCATAATTTATCCTCCTTCTCTCAAACTTTTTCGCTTAGGTAGCTGTTACAGAGGAGGAGAATCCCACCCAAACAATAAAATAGCCTATCTAACGCCTTGACCCGAACCAAAATACGCAAGAGGCATAGAAGAGGGAGAGCAAACCAAGTGTAACACCTGTTGGTTTATTGTCTCAAAAAGGGGCACAGACTTCGACTGAGACGCAACGGTCGTACCTATATATATGCATATATATATTGAATTTATGCTGCGAAAGCCTGTTCTTAGTTCTGGTACATCTGCTTTGAAGTCTGTACAAACCTCGTTGTACTGGCGGGCTGCCGAAGAGAGAAACTTTAGAAACTGATTTTTCTATCAGGCTGATTACACAAATTGCAAAGAGCGACTTTATTGCATATCCCCACAATGACGCTTGTCGCTATGTTGCTATTGGTTCCAAGTGGCCTTGGTTTTGGGGGAAGATTTAACTGATGCAATATTGTGATTTCATAGACATAACTCAGGCTCATACGTGAAAAAAGTTATTATCCTGTAATAAGGATAAGTTGTTCAGAAGGTAAGGAGGACATTATTTTTCAGTTTATTTGTGTATATACTATTGTGCACCGGGTTGCATTGAGTTCTTAGTGCAACTGTATGTAACTGCATTTACATAAAGTGAAACATTACGAATGCTCCTGTTTCTAGAATAAAAAACATTATTATTATCATTAAGTTTAGTGATGAAGGATGAAATTTCCTCAACGTCAATGTTATTTAATTGAAGTTGTAATCTGTGTAGGCCCTTAAAGGAATAAATTCGGCATGGAGAACTCCTATGTAAACCGAATGTGCTTTTAGTTTAGTAAATCTTACTGACTTCCTGTGTAAATTTGATATTTATCAAGTGTTTATTTCAAAGCTGCTGGAGTATTCAGTAAAGTAAAAGTTGTAGTGCATATATGGAATTATAATTCCAAGACTTGTTGTAGTCATTGGTATTGCCAGGATACCACTTACTCGTTTTATGCAGCCAAAATATACAAATCTCGCTTTATTGAGGAAACACTATAATGCCTGCAAAAGTATTGCGTCAGTTAATGAGTTTCATAAATCCTACAGAATGTTTTCGGTCGTTCAAACACGATTCCTGTGCAGGTGATTGGTTGCATTATCATTTCCCAAATGGAATGCAGCATACTGTATATTAAGGTAAATCTTCCGCCTTCCTTGTTGAAGGTGGTGTTCCTCAGGGTACTGTTATCTCTCCTTTTCTTTTTTCTCTCTCGTCTTACATGACTTTTCTCTTTCTAATGAGAGCAACTTCGTCAGATACACTGGTGATCTGACCGTCTCACTCCCTGTCATGTCACAATGTGTCACCAGGAGGACTTTATTTTTCAGTTTATTCGTATATATACTATTGCGCATCGAGTTGCATTGCGATTCCACATGTAGTAAAAGATTATGAGTACCTTGCTCTTCTCTTCTGCATAAAAAAGTTACTTCACAAGAACCGCTATATTAAGCTCAGTAAGGACAAATATGAATTTCTCCACTTCAGTGTTGTGAGTTAATTTGTGAACTGTGTAGGCCCCTAAAGTAATGCATTTGCCGTGCATGCTGCATAGTGAAATCAGGAGTGTGCATGTTGTACTAAATCTTCTGCGCTTTCTGTATGGATTCGATGTTCATGAAGTGACCATTTAACAACTGCTGAGTGTTGCATGTGATCCAGCTAAAATTATAACTGATAATTCCAAGAATTTCTGTCGTTTTCATTGGCAGCGGTTCACAGCCTATTGAGTTTACACAAGTACAATGCCCATTTATCACTTTACTGAGGAGACATTAACTATGATTCGAGAAAAGTAGTACGTCAGTATGTGAATTTCATGAATCTGTAGATTGCATTCCATTCACTTAATACTGAAACTAAACTATGAGGGAACTGATATTTCCAAGAAGGATATAATACAAGGCTCATTTCTACAACTGTCGTCCTTATTTTAGTTCACTTTCATCATACGTGTATTAACAGAATTGTCTGTCACTCACTTCAGGGACTTACCAGGGAACAGTCTTGTCAACTTAGTGTATGCGAAGTGGAAACACATCTGAGGAAATATGTTTTGCTTATTACCAACTAAATATAATATTTTTCAAGTGTGGAATGTAACAAATCGAACTGCTGCACTACTCTACTGAGTTCCATGTTAAAACTCAGTCAGTCAGCTTTTTCACTGCAGATGCGTAGTGTCACAACTCACTACAGCGTTAACTGGCTCAAACAATTATGAATGCCGTTTCTTAAGTACTATATGCATTTCCCAATTCCTTAAAATGTCCAGATAAAGTGCACTGAAGAAAACATTAACCAAAAGTCAGTAACACGGACATAAGAATTGGTGTAAATAGAAGTGAATGAGATGGATGGTTTTTTCAAACCTGTAGTACGCTTAACTAAAATACTCATGTATATGAATGAAGCTGTGTCGTTCACAAGATGCTTGTATCAAAGAGGGCACTGAAACATAAACTAAGTCTAACATGAAATACCTTGGAGTTGTTATATCCTCTCGTCTTCCTTGGCAACCCTATATCTTTTCGATTTCTGTAGTGTAATCTTTACAACTGTTTCGAATATTACTTCATAAAATTAGATACAATAATGTACGAGATGCTGCAAATTCAACACTGTAACATTAATACTACTTGGTAATAACGGATCCCGCCAAAACCATCTGCGACACAGGCAAATTACTTTGTCAACTAAAAGTATTAATTTAAATATTCGCAAGAGTTCGATTTACCTGCAAACTGCGGAATTTGAGCGTGACGCAGCAGCATATGCCGACAAGGTATTCTTTGCGCCCTAAAAATTCTGCAGGTACAAGTTGAATTGGTATAATCCACTTGGTGCAGGTATATGCCATCATTTATGATAGCCATATCATCAGTATACAACTGTATACTCATCCGACGATTACGGCTATAGTCCTTGGCAATTAACTTAGCGGCATAAGCAGTGAAGTTTCGTAATATTATCATAACTGGTTCTGGTGCATGATACTTACGAATCCGACAACTTTCGACGATGACTTCAACACTCCGACGCTTCTCTGTGAGTATACACCACTTATACGTCTTGTACATACATGCGTGTAGGGGATCCCTTCTGTGGAGATATCGTTTTAGGTGACTGTGAGAGCTTTCAACTCTATTGTTGGTACTATTAAACAGCAACAGAGTATTCGGCATATATGCCGCAGCCCACGTCTCCTTCTTAGGCACCCAGTAATGCCTGACATAATTCCATACCCTACGATCAACTGTCCTAATGACACTAAGGTAGTGATGAAATCTAAATGGTTAGAAATCAATGCATTTACCTTTCAGGTGTCGCAGCTTTAACAAGACGATATAAAACCTGCGTACAAAAGGATTTCGAGTCTAAATTCATCAAGTATTAATTAAATTTACCTCACCTTCCTGCTGAAAGCCTGGCATACATGAAATGCACAGACGACGATTTTCGCCTGAATGTGACTATTAGGCA